GTGGGGTTTTTTTCTGTTGTGTGTGTGTAGTTGTTCTACTTTATGCATCCCCTTTGATGAGACAAACTACAGAACAACATCTGAGGCACCACTCCAGGACTGGAGATTGAGGACATTTTTAAGACTGCAATTTAAACTTGGAAGTTTTTTGTTTTTTTTTTCTATTTTTTTATTTTATTTTAAACATTTTTATAAATAATTTTACTTTCATTTACTATTTTTATTTTATTCTTATTTTTTTTATTTTTCAATCCTCTCTCTGTCTCTTGTCTGTTCAGCTTACTGTCGATTAGTACACTAAACTCCCTGTTTATACCTTTGAAACTTCTTGTCTGATACCTTTTTCTGCTTTCTCCTCTTTGTATTTTGTTTTTCCCTTTCTTTAACTTCTTGCTTTCCATCTCAGCTCACCTTCCATTCTAAATATTACCATTGTTATTATTACAAGCTAGAAAATACTTAATTGCACACAGTACAGGGACAGTAACAACACCAAGGACAATGACGGGAAGACAGAAAAAACAGGGAAACCAGTTTCCCACAGCAAAAAATTAGTACAGGAACCAGAGGGAATGAAGAAAACAGTACTCAGATCCAGACTCCAACAAAATGAAGATAAACTATGCCAAAGACCCAATGAAGCCCACAAGAATAATTTAAAAGAAGACATACTACAGTACTCAATGAGAATTTTATAGAGATGATACTGGATAGGGTCAACCAAAATGTACAGGAGACACTCAAGAAATTCCAAGACAAAAAAATAGAGAATTTGAAAAAAGCAAAAGAAGAAATAAAGGAAACCATAGAAGCACTGTATAAACACCAAAGTGAAAGAGAGACACAATGAATAAAAGATAAATGAACTCAGGACAAAAATAGACAACAATAAAGAGAAAACAGCCAGGATATGGAAAACCTCAGAAAAAGAACGAAACAGAACTGCAAAACAAAAGGAAGGCCAATCCAGCAGAATAGAACAAACAGAAGACAGAATCTCAGAACTTGAAGATGAAATGGTAATTAAAGGAAAAACCGAAAGAACTATTAATTAAACAACTCAAGACCTGTGAAAAGAAAATGCAAGAACTCACGACTCCATCAAAAGACCAAACTTGAGAATCATGGGCATCGAAGAAGGAGAAGAGGTGCAAGCGAAGGAATGCGTAATATATTCAACAAAATAATAACGGAAAATTTCCCAAATCTAGAGAAAGATATTCCCATAATGCAAGAGGCCTCCAGGACACCAAACAGACCAGATCAAAATAGAACTACCCACGACATATCATCATTAAAACAACAAGTTCAGAAACTAAGGAAAGAATATTGAAGGCTAAGAGAGAAAAAACAAGTAACATACAAAGGTAAACCCATCAAAATCACAGCAGACTTCTCAACAGAAACATTAAAAGCAAGAAGAGCGTGGGGTGAGATCTTCCGGCACTGAATGAAAATAACTTCAACCCCAGGATACTCTACCCAGCAAAGCTATCATTCAAAATAGATGGAGCAATAAAAGTCTTCCATGATAAGCAGAAACTAAAACAATATGTGACCACAAAGCCACCACTACAAAAGATTCTGCAAGGGATCCTGCACACAGAAAGTGAACCCAACTTAACCATGAAAAGCAGGCAGCACCAAACCACAGGAAAGAAAAAGCAAGAACAGTAGAGAGTAACTCAACTTAGGTACACACAATCAAACCTTCAAACAACTAAGACAACTAAATGACAGGAATCACCACATACCTATCAGTACTAACACTTAATGTTAATGGACTTAATTCACCCATCAAAAGCACCGTTGACAAAATGGATTAAAAAGAAGATCCAACAATTTGTTGCTTACAGGAGACCATCTCACCGACAGAAATAAGCATGCTTAGGATGAAAGGCTGGAAGAAGATTTACCAAGCCAATGGCCCCGAAAACAAGCAGGAGTAGCAATACTTATCTCTGACAAAGTAGACTTCAAACCTACATTGATCAAACGAGATAAAGAAGGACATTCCATACTAATAAAAGGGGAAATAGACCAAAAGGAAATAATAATCATCAATCTGTATGCACCCAATGTCAACGCACCCAATTTCATCAAACATACCCTGAAAGACCTAAAAGCATATATAAAACCAACACAGTGGTTGTGGGAGACTTTAACACCCATTATCATCAATAGATAGGTCATCCAAACAAAAATCAATAAAGAAATCCAAGATCTAAAATATGCAATAGATCAAGTGGACCTAGTAGATGTCTACAGAACATTTCATCCAACCTCTACACAATATACATTCTTCTCAGCAGCCCATGGAACCTTCTCCAAAATAGATCATATCCTAGGGCACAAAGCAAGCCTCAGCAAATATAAGAAAATAGAAATAATACCGTGCATACTATCTGACCACAATGCAGTAAAAGTAGAACTCAACAACAAAAGTAAAGACAAAAAACATGCAAACAGCTGGAAACTAAATAACTCATTACTTAATGAAGAATGGATCATCGATAAATAAAAGAGGAAATTAAAAAGTTCCTGGAAGTCAATGAAAATGAAAACACAACCTACCGGAACCTATGGGACACAGCTAAGGCAGTCCTGAGAGGAAAGTTTATAGCCATGAGTGCATATATTAAAAAGATTGAAAGATCCCAAATCAATGACCTAATGATACATCTCAAACTCCTAGAAACAAGAACAAGCAAATCCCAAAACAAATAGAAGGAGAGAAATAATAAAAATAAGAGCTGAAATCAATGAAATAGAAACCAAAAAAACCATACAAAGAATTAATGAAACAAAAAGTTGGTTCTTTGAAAAAATAAACAAGATCGATAGACCCCTGGCAAACCTGACTAAAATGAGGAGAGAAAAAACCCAAATTAGTAGAATCAGGAATGCAAAAGGGGAGATAACAACAAACACCATGGAAGTCCAGGAAATCATCAGAGACTACTTTGAAACCTATATTCAAATAAATTTGAAAATCTTAAAAGAAATGGACAGATTTCTAGATACATATGATCATCCAAAACTGAACCAAGAGGAAATTAATCACCTGAATAGACCTATAACACAAAATGAAATTGAAGCAGCAATCAAGAGTCTCCCCAAAAAGAAAAGTCCAGGACCTGATGGATTCTCTGCTGAATTCTATCAGACCTTTAAAGAAGAACTGATACCAACCCTCCTTAAACTGTTCCATGAAATAGAAAGGGAAGGAAAACTGCCAAACACATTTTATGAAGCCAGTATTACACTTATCCCAAAACCAGGCAAAGACACCTCCAAAAAGGAGAACTATAGGCCAATCTCCTTAATGAACATTGATGCAAAAATCCTCAACAAAATAATGGCAAACCGAATTCACAACACATCAAAAAGATTATTCACCACGACCAAGTAGGCTTCATCCCAGGATGCAGGGGTGGTTCAACAACGAAAATCAATAAACGTAATAAACCACATTAACAGAAGCAAAGACAAAAACCACTTGATCATCTCAATACATGCAGAAAAAGCCTTTGATAAGATCCAACACCATTTCATGATAAAAGCTCTAAGAAAACTAGGAATAGAAGGAAAGTTCCTCAACATTATAAAAGCTATATAGGACAAACCTACAGCCAGCCTTATACTTAATGGAGAAAAACTGAAACCATTCCTCTGAAACCATGGTCTAAACCAGACAAGGATGCCCACTATCTCCACTCCTATTCAACATAGTCCTGGAATTCCTAGCCAGAGCAATTAGGCAAGAAGAAGGAATAAAAGGAATACAAATAGGTAAAGAAACTGTCAAAATATCCCTATTTGCAGATGACATGATCCTACATATGTGGACATTAGATCAAGGGCAAACACAACAATGGGATTGGACTTTTAGCACAAGACAAAAGCAAGAGCACACAAGGGAGAGGTGAGGATATTTAAGACACCTAAAAAATTAGGTAGCATTTTTGCCCTTAACACAGAGAAACTAAAGCAGATACCTTAAAAGCAACTGAGGCCAATAGGAAAAAGAGAACAGGAACTGAGAAAAAGGTAGATCAAAGGAATAATTAACTAGAAGGTAACACCCACGCAAGGAAATCATGTGAGTCAATTGGCCCTGGTATAAGTATCCTATTCTCAACCAGCAAAAAAAACCCTTGTTCCTTTCCTAGTACTTGCCTTATACTCTCTTTAAAACAAAATTAGAAATAGGGCAAAATAGTTTCTGCTGGGTATTGAGGGAGGGTGGGGGGGAGAGCGGAGGGGGCAGAGTGGGTTGGTAAGGGAGTGGGGTGGGGGGCAGGCGTGAGAAATGGACCCAGCCTGGGTATGCACTTATGAATTAATTAAAAGAAAAAAATGTCATGAAGAGGGACCAGTAGTTAGCATTGTTAATTCAAATGTTTAATTTAAAAATATATTTTCCTTTTAGCTTTAGTAACTAAAGAGTTTTTTTAATTTTTTTGATTTGACAAAGAAAAGCAGAAAATAAAGATTTAATTGTTTTAGCAAAGTGTTTAATGACAACACATTCAATAAAAATCTGATGTCAAAAATAAGCTAAGGATTCAAGAAAAAGAAGAGTAAGAAGTGACAGTAAAGTCTGAACGGCAAGTCCCAACAGGAAGGTATGAGAGCCCCTGTGAATGTCAGCAGCATCTAACCTATAGATTTCCACTTCACACACAGGTAAGCTAGAAATCCCTCCACCAGACATGAGATGAGAAAAGAGCCCAGTGCAGGTTATTGCTCTACTGCACCAAGAACCTGGAGCCTCTGGAGCCAGCAACCTGTGGGTTTCTGTCTCCTATCTCAGTGATCACTCTTGGCCAAGGTCAGTCTCCAAGGTCAGATCCAGAATGGTTTTTCTCCCCAGAAAACCACTGTACAGGCGAGTTAAAATTTGATGAAGTAAAGAGAATGGCAGGATGGGTAAGCAAAAGAAATATGGGGTGGGAGTAGCATTCCAACACAATAGCATAATAATTTAAAACATGTACCTTTACTCTTTGGTCATCAGCATCTATAATTGTAGCAACACGGATTAACCGGGGATTTCGTTTATCCACAACTTCAAGTTTCATATTTGGCAGAAAACCATGGGGCACCCTCTGAAACATTACAGGGGGAAGGAGTCATGCAAAATGCAGCAATCCAGATATTCTACTAAATTTTCCCTAAAACATTATTGCTTTAGTTTTAATATGTACATCTTTAACATGACTGGAATTTACTTTTAAGATCACATGGGACTCTATACATTTCTTTCATTCAGTTTCACAAACACCTATAAGGAGAAAGAATTTTTTTGTCCATGTTAAAGAAAATTAAAAAGACAAAGATTAAATTCTAAATCCATTAATAATCACGTTGTTTGAAAAGGATTTTATTTACATTATTTTTCTTTTTTTTAGAAATTAGCCTTCTGTATTAAGAAATTATTAATAAACCATAGTATTTTCCTAGGTTGTTATTTAGTCTTCTTTTTCCTTTCTTGTTGTGCTGGGTGGGGGTACGCAGGGCATTTGCATTTGTAAAGATTCTTACAATGTATTAAATATGTGATACTTGAATTCACCCCTTCCACTACTCTCCTATATACCCCTCTATTATTTTTAAATTGTAATTGAATTAGCTCAGTTAAGAATATATTATATAAACATGTAACAGAAAGGAAAAACACTAATATATTAAGTGTTTGTCTCTGGCAGTAAAATCATGGATAATATTTATATTCTTCAATGTAGTCTGGTATATTTTCAAACATAATAAACAGTATTCCTTTTTTCAACAACAACAAAAAAGAGACAAATTATTGAGTATTCCCACCGTCCACTCTGATACTCTCTGGCGTAGAATATAAAACTATTTAATAAATAATTTTAAAAGATAAACATGATGCTTTCTAAATCTAAACTTTAAAATATTCCTAGAAAAAGTTGTTATTAATTTCAACTGTTAAACTGTCTTAAAATCATGCCATGCTGTAATGTAAAGCCATAGCATATGCTTCTGTCACTTCAAATGTAACAGAGGGCTGAAATGGGTTGAGTTTCTTTCAAGTCTTAAAATGCTGGGGACCAAGAGTGGATAATGGCAGACACACAGGCAATGAGGAAAACAGAACAGAAAAGAGACACTGAGACATACCAAGTCATTATAACTAAGGAGATTTAGCTATCAGTTTTTATAGGTTAGCAAAAAGTTTCGTTTTTACTACATGTAAAAGTGTTCAGTTGACTGTATGAGAAATAAAAGTATACTGAATTCCTCAAGCCTGGATATGGGAAAAGGAAAACAAAACTCTACTAATACATGAGAAATAATTGATCAGACCTTTCCCCATTCTCTGTGATTTTTCTGTCCAGCTTTTCAGGAAGCATCTTTTCTTTCTAATGCAGTATTACATCTACTAAATGGAGTGTGCTGCTACAATTAGGTCTCTGATCCCTAAAAATCTTTGTTCCTCCTGGAGGTCACTGTCCTCAACAAATGGAGGCAACTGTTTAGAATTACAGATGCCCAACATACATATTCAAGCTGATTCCACAATAACCATGAGAGAGCCTAGAACTGATTTTTTAGCTAAATATTTTTATCATTTTATTCTCTTGTAGTTTTCTTCTTGGAAAATTAAAATGGAAGAGCCAGATGTGGTGGTACACTCCTGTAATCCCAGCTACTCAAGAGACCGAGATGAGGAGGACTGAGGTTCAAGGCCAGCCAGGGCAAAAATTTAATGAGACCCCCATCTCTAAAAACAAGCTAGGTAAGATAGATCATACCTATAATTCCAGCTACGTGGGTGGCATAAGTAGGAGGACTGTGATCCAAGGCTACCCCTGAGCAAAAATCAAAAGACACTATCGAAAAGAAAAAACGAAAGCAAAAAGGGCTAGGGATGTGTTAAAGTGCCTAACTAGCAAGGACTGAATTCAAACCTCAGTACCGCACCCCAAAGAGAGGGGGAAGGGGAGGGGGAGGGGAAGATGAGGGGAAGGGGAACGGGGGAGGGAGAACTGGAACGTACAATTTTGGAAGAAGGCAAAAGAGAAAGGAAGAGCACCAGTAACAAAGTGCTTATGCTTACTGAAATTCTGTGAATCTTAAAATGCCTGTAGAACTTCTGGTACACATGCCTCTGTCCCTAAGTTCAGCTTACTACAACCAAACTTCTTAAAAAATGAGACAATTTTGTTTCAAACCCTTTTAGTAACCAGAAAACGTTCAGCCAACGAAATTGTATGAAGAAACCTAACACATAAAATTCCAATCACAGCTGAGTCAAGCGGCCTGGACATGGGTTAGGGCACACTCAAAGGGAACAGAGCTGAAACCCACCAGATTAAAACATAAATGTTTCTAAGCCTACTATTTCTACCCTTGCCCTTTCTTTTATTAATTAATTTAAACTTAGTTCAACCCTGGAATAAGTTCATGAATGCAAATGTAGTCTGTAAAATTCATAATTAAAAGAAATGATAAAAAAAACAGATGAAACTGTATACAAACTGTTTACACGATCCTGTTTCACTGTGGCATCATGGACATCCCAGCTGCCCCCAAGAAAGGGACACAGCAGAAGTTCAATGTTCCCACCCAGGGGGCTAAGAGCACCAGAACTGTAACTGCCAGGCCTCTGCTTTCAGCACCTGATGAGGCTCATGGTGGCAACTCTGTCACACTCTGCTGTGCTTTTCTTTTCTGTTTTGTTTTGGGTTTCTTTTGAGACAGGGTCTCACTGTATGGCCCCGGCTGACCTGCAACTCACAATCCAATCCTCCTGCCTCGTCTCCCTAGTGCTTGGATTACAGGCAGGCACCACTATACCTACTGTGTGTTTTTCAATGAAATCATAGGAACAGCCAATGAGTCAGCTTACTTTGAAGCTTTAACTAAAAGCAAAGCAAATTGGTTATGAAAATACTATGTGAACTTGAATATAAAAAACTTTAATAGTTTGAAGCTCCTAATGAAGGCAGGACTGAACAAGGATATTTGAAGGCAAGAGTGTACACCCAGATAGGACTTACCATTTTAAAAACTCTGCCAGGAACTGCATTAGTTTGAGTAGCTTCCAGATAGTCTGTCCAAGAAAAATTTTCTGGATCAGGATATCCTGAAAAAAATGTACATATGTCAAAAGATTATTCATAGATTCCCATATATTACAGAACAGTTGATAATAGCACTTCCTGTTATCTGAAGACTCACTATGTTTCCGGTCCTATGCTGGGAACGTTACATATGACATAACGTTAGGTCTTTTGCTCACTTCTGAGAGTGAAAGGTGTAGTGCATGAGAGCTCTCATTCATTCACTCAGCAAGGTCAAGCAGGTTGGTCACGGTCAAATTGCTCAGTAATTATTTGGCAGAGCCAGGTGATACCCAGAATTCTGACTCCCAAGATTCATCAGACAGCTCGTTAGAAGTTTGAAAAATCCCACAACCAACTATCTGACCTCAAGCCATGAATTGTAACAAAGGCCTGGATAATCTTCCCACTTACTCCAATAACTCTGGGTCTAATAGGAACTCATTCCATTGTTAGTGCTATATCATAACACTGTGCCAGAAAGGCTACTTATGCTCAAGTGGTACAGCACTTGCCCAGCAGGCACCAGGTCCTGGCTTCAATCCCCAGTTACAAAACATGTATCATGACAGCCCATCTTTTAAACATTGGCTAAGTTCTAATTTCTCTTGTTGTCTATGTTCTTCTGTTATTAACTACATTGACTAGGGTCTGTCTATCCTGCATTGTTCTCTTTGTTCTTCTAATGAATAAGCACTTAAACATTAAGTCATTAGTTTTCCTTCTTTTCTAATTATTTTGTTTGCTGTTTTTGCTCTACTTCCCCAGCAGTTTTATCAAAGTGAATTGTAAATAATTTATTTTCACTGTTTAGAATAAAAGCATTTAAGACTATGAACGTGCCATTGTTTCCATCCAACAGTGTTAGAAAACTATACACACTTCTATGAATAATGTATTTTCTCACTTTATGAAAATTATAATATATAACTGTTGACTTGACTGACTCATTGGCCATATACTTAAGAGACATTCCAGATGGTAAATTACTATCACTATTCAAAATATTAATAGGAAGTTGCACTATAGTTTCAGAATGTCACATGCGATTTGGGGATGTGAGGATTTCTTTCTGGCATAACAGAGGATGAAAAAATTTTAAATATATATGTCATAAAGTTTACTATCAACATTTACATTAACATAATCTTGCTATATTACTCAAAAGTTTTTTTCAGTTTTTGATTAAATGAAGGCAGTATGCTAAAGTCGCTAAGGTTTTTCTATACTCAGAATTTCTGATAACATTTCCTTCATTTTTAAGCATTTTACAAAAATAAAATATATTTAAAGAAGAATACACAAATCAAGTGTACAGCCTGGAAATTCTTTGCAAGACTAGTGTGCCTATGTGACCAGATCCAGATCAAAGCCAGAGCTCTCAATTTATCCATCTCTACCATTCCCCTTCTCTCAGTGAATCATTCTCCAAGAGTCCAATCTGTCTTCCAACCTGGAGGCTGCTGGTGCTACCCCTTCTGTGCAAATGGAATCACACAGAAAGTGCTGTTTTCTGTTGAACACCTTTTGCTCAGACTTCTGCTCTGAGGATCATGTAGCTTGCTACATGTAAAACACTCTTTTTCATGGTCACATAATATTCTATTACATGCATATTTCATAATTTACTTACCCATGCTACTTATGTTAGTCCTTTGGATAGTTTCCATTTGGGGGTTATTACAGAAAGTGCTGCTATGAACATTCTAGTACATTCTTCTTAGTGATCATCCTATTGGAATGTACCCAGAAGTAAAACTACTGGATCATAATGTGCCTTGTTTCATCATTTTTACATTTAAATCATTTTGATTCAAGTAAATCTATTTTCAGCACCTTTGAAATTGTATTCTTAAATAATTTACATTTGTTTTCACAGAGTTTGTTTTACCTAACTTATGTAAACATGTCTTTAATCTGATCGTTTTAAATGCTCTTGGTGTTTCCTTTACTTTCTGTCCTTTTCTATATGAATTATGCCATGTATCTTATGTCTCAACAAATATTTCCACAATTGCATTTACCTTTATAGCACAGATTAAAAAACAATAACAGCTGGGTATCAATGGCTAACGCCTGTAATCCTAGCTACTCAGGAGGCAGAGATCAGGAGGATCGTGGTTCGAAGCTAGCCTGCACAAATAGTTCGAAAGACCCTACCTAGAAAAAAACCCATCACAAAAAAGGGTTGGTGGAGTGGCTCAAGTGGTAGAGTACCTGCCTAGCAATCACTAGGCCTTGAGTTCAAACCCCAGGTTAACTGATCCAAAGTTATTCCTTATATTTTTGGATCTCTACCATTCTACACAGATTCTGACCTAGCCCCACCCCTTGTCCCTTTCAGCACTGAGTTCCTAAACCAGGTCTCTAACCAGAAGATTCAGTAGGACAGAGGGAAAGAAAAGGAACAAGAGTGCAGAGGCTGAAGAATGGATGTGCGATGAGCAGGGGTAGGAATGGGGAGTGGCAGCAATGAATCCTGCTCCAGCCTCAAAGAAACCTGGCAATAAGAATAAGAGACACTATTCTTTTTCCTCCTTTCCTTATAAACAAGTGAAAATAAAAGGTTGTGACATTTTAAATGGTTTTTGAGCAACAATTATCTTTGTGCAACTCTCCATAAATGAACTATGTATATACAAAAAAAAGAAAAGCATGCATTCCTGTATATTCCCTGCTCAATGAACTCAAGAAAGAGAAGAATGTCTATGGTCTCAGAAGAGTTACAAAAGCTGTCTACTCTCATTCTCTTCCTCCTAGCCCATCCCTGATCCCTGATAGGCTTTGGAAGGTCAGAAGAAGGGGTTGTAGAGGAAGAGGCAAGGACTAGGGACCTTCACAAATCCATGTGGCAATACCACAACAGAAGTTTTCAGTAGTTTAAGTTCCTACTTGAAATAAGAAAGGAATATTTGAGACCGTCCCATAGAACAGTAATATCTGTTAGCCTCTTATCTCCTTGCAAAGAAAGTGAACCTCTAACTGACTTCTTATTCATGAGAAAGCACTGTACTGAGTACTTCCTTTACATGAAGTCATTTATTCCTCACCCAAACCTGTAAGGTATACCTTTTCATCCACATTTCATAGACGAGGCTCAGAGAGCTTGGGAGCCAGCTGAGCGTCCCACAGTTAGGAAGTGAAAGAAATGGGATTTGAACAATTAGTTCTGACTCCATTCCCCATGGAAGGCACTTAATAGCTGCTTCCCTCTGGTGCTGAAGAGACAACTGCATCTGAAATCCAAGGCTGTCCATCCTGCTAGGCCTCAGGACCGAGAGTCTGAGCTCCCCCTAGAAGCCCAGGCCTAGAATTGCAGGAATGAGAGGGTAAGAGTCTATGTCACTGGCCTGGAGACTGAGCTACACTGCTTAAACATACTGATTCACGGCCACCTAGCTCCACGCTATTCAGAGTTCAAAACTTCACAGAGCTGAACAGGCTCAGAATAAAACAGAGGTCCAAGTTGTGGCTGTGGGTAGGGATGGCTGAAACAATGCAAGGAAAAGGGTCACAGAAATTAAGATCAGTGACCTATGGGGCCAGGGTACTGGCCACAGCCCTGGAGTTCCCCATGGTGCAGGCAGTGTTTTGGGTAAAAGGTAAGATCTAGGTGACAAATGTCTCCAGTCAGCATGGAAGAACAGTTACAAGGCAGCTGGATGGTGGCCAAAGGCAGGGTATGGTGTAGAACAACAGAGCAAGCACTCTGCAGGGACAGCTGTGGAAGCAGCAGGAGGTATATAGGGATGTCAAGGCATAAAGCCACCTCTTTTATAGCCCACAGGAAGTATAGCTTGGAGCACTCAGGGAGAAAGCCCTGAGTGCAAAAGCTGGGGCCAAATAGAGGTCACTGCCATAGAAAGCTGGGAGTGGAAAGGAGTCCAAGTGCAGAAAAAATACTGGAGGACAACAGCATGCATGAGAGCAAAAGGGAAAACTGAGGGTCAAACACACCCAAATCGTGTCATTCCAGTGGCTTCCTGTGACACTCACACACAAAAAAAAACAAGTCTCATAATGAACTACAGGTCACTATACAGCATGGTTCCAATTCCACCCCAGCTCAGCTCCCATTCACTGAGCTCTTGCTATACTGAGAAGACAACACACCTCAGTTCCTATATTTGTTTTTCCTTTAACCTGGAAACTGGACAGTTCTCCCCAGAGACTCCCCAGATTCATCACTTCATCTCCATTAAGTAGGTCTTCACATGTCACATTCTTACTAAGCCCTTCCCTGAACTCCCTATATAATGGGGAATCCCCTCTCCTAAGTTATGTTCCCTTCCTAATCCCACCTCTTACCTTATTTTTCTCCATGGCATTTATCACCATCTAACATACTGTGTTTTTTTTTAAATATTTCTTATTTCTCTTACTCTAACAGAACATAAGCTGCCTTATGACAGGAATTTGTTCACGACAATTTCCTCAAAGCATATATATGTGGCACTTCATTCATCCTTAGTGACTATTTATTGAATGAGTGTAATGAATTTCCTGAAGTTTGCAGTTAATATTGTACTGTCCAGGAATGACAGAAAACTGAGCCAAAATGATACTGTCTAGCCTCACAATTCTGGATGAAAGTCTGACATGAAGATGTTTGTGGTGCTGGTGGTATCAGAGGTACGACTGGAAGAAAAAGGTGTTAGCGTATCACTTGGCTCAAGCCTTCTGACTGGTCGCATCACACAAGGCAAATGTAACAACTTTAATTGTTGGTTCCATATAAGAGAGGGTAATACAGTGTTAGATTGCCTACACACTCTTGATAAGGGCAGACTTGATTATTTTTTTCTAAAGAAAGTTAAGTTAAAACATCATTTTGCTCCTAGAACATACTTTTGAAAGAACTGAGATCATCAATAAACAGCACAAGGCCTTAGGTTCCGGACTTCTTGCTCTGGATGACCTATCCTACAGAAAAACATGACAGCCATCATTACACCTGTGGCCAATTCAAAGGCGTATTAGAACTAACAATTTTCAAGTAATGGACAAAAATCCCATTTAATTA